ATTTAAATGGAATCATGCAGTGTACAATCTTATGTCTGACTTAGGTCTGTAAGATACATCCATGTTGATACATATATCCATAATTCATTGTCTTTTATTGGTTTTGCAGTGTTTCATCTTATAACTGTATCACAATTTACTCATCCATTCTACTGCTGATGTACAATTGGTTCTGCAGTGTTTCATCTTATAAATATACCACAATTTACTCATCCATTCTACTGCTGACGTACAACTGAGTTATATCCAATTTTTGATTATGAATAAAGGCATTATAAACATTCTTTAACATGTTTTTTTAGTAGGCACAAGCATTAGCTTCTCTTGAGTATACCTAGGAACGAATGCAAGCGTTTGATCATGGCTAGGGGTAGACAAAGCCATAGTCTTCCAAAGTGACTGTACCATTTGACACCCCCACCAACAATACGTAAGAGATCCAGCTGGTCTACACTCTTGCCAACACTGGAACTGTCCATCTTTTTTATTTTAGTTATTCTGGAAGGTGTATAGCAGTATCTCATTATTGTTTTAATGTATATTTCCCACTGACAAATAATGTTAAGTACCTTTTTACATGCATACTGGCCATTCTGAGACCCTCTAATAGAAAGTGCCTGTTCAAGACGCCTACACATTTTTAAAATGATTTTTCTCATTAATTTTTTTATGCTACACATACACAAATACACACACACACAGAGCATGAGTCCTTGGTCAGATATATAAACTGCAAATTTCTTCTTCCAGTCCATATTTTGCTCTTCATTTTCTTAGTGGTGTCTTTAGATGAAGAGAAGTTCCCAAGTTTAATGAACTCTGAAGACAAATTTATCAATCATTTTCATGATCAGTGCTTTCTGAGTCCTTTTTAAGAATCTCTGCCTATTCTAGGCACTAGTTCTTTATTTGCGCTTATGGTTTCAGCAGTTCTCCCCCTAGCTTTGACTTCATGAAATCCTGCCTCTTTTGCAAGATTTGCACCCCCTACCTTGTAGTCGATTTGCACTGCATTCATGTTATGTTGTTAGGTGCTGGACAACTTTAGTGTTACACATGTTCAAGTGGAGATCACTTTAAAACTAGAGAAATCATCAGTGATTACTTCCATATTACAATGATTTATGTACAAATATATTCAAAACCTAATGTAAAAAGAAAAAAAATTCTAATACCCATTATCCTAGCATTTTCTCCCTAAACATACCTTAGATGATTCTTTCTACACTTTTTAAACAAAGAACTTCCTGCTCTATCCTTTTTCCTAAATTAGTTAAGAAGACCTCCAATTTCCAACCATATAGTTCCAAAGAAATAAACCTTACTCTTACGGCAAGCACGTATTCCCTTCCACAACCCTGTTATCTTCACATCCAATCACTCTCACAACGTGCTTTCAAAATGTGTGTGGAATGTGAACTCTGCTCTGCCACAGCCAATGCCTGGTTCCTTCCCTCACCATCTCTTGTCTGGAGTATGCAAACTGTCCTTAACTGGTCTCCTCTTTACAGTCTGTCTTTCACCCTGTCACCAAAGTCACCTTTCAAAAACATAAAGTTGAGGTTATGCATCTAATCGAGCTCCTTCTACAGTTTTCCCACTGTCTGCAGGATAAAGTCACTCTCTTAGCTAAGAGTTCACAACCTGGCTTTAACCTTTCCTGGCTTCCCTCCCAGCAACACCTACAATACTCTGGTCTGACCCTAGGACACCAAGAGCTCTCACTTGTCCTGGCTTTGCTCTGCTTCTCCCTATGCCTTTATCCTCCAGTTAGCTCCCTTCCTCTTCCGGCCAGGCCCACCCCAGAAGAAGTAACTGTTCCCTTTTATGTGCTCTCACAGCTCTCTGCACCCACAACTATATTTGAGTTCTTATCACACTTTATTAGTTAATCATTTACTTATTTGTCTCAACTGTCTACAAACTTCTGGACCTGGGACTTCTCCCTGAACTCCTCAAGGGTAGCGTCAGGAGTTAATGTTTACATCCTAAAGACTTGGCGGGGCTATCCCATAGAGGTTCAATGAAAGAATAAATGTCCTAGCCACTTTTACTCATCCTATTTTTTCAATAAAGACTGGAAAAATTAGCACAAGTATATCAAAACAACAAGCTTAACTAAAATCAGTTTTCTTTTAAAAGTCCCCCAGCAAATTATTCTTTTAAAAAATGTAATAAAAACAAAAATCTCAATTACTGATTTGTGCTTCCTGATAAAAATTAGTCATAACTGGCCAGGCACGGTGGCTCACACCTGTAATCCCAACACTTTGGGAGACCAAGGCAGGCGGATCACCTGAGGTCAGGAGTTCAAAACCAGCCTGACCAACATGGAAAAACCACGTTTCTACTAACAATACAAAATTAGCCAGGCGTAGTGGCACATGTCTGTAATCCCAGCTACGCGGGAGGTTGAGGTAGGAGAATCACTTGAACCCAGGAGGCAGAGGTTATGGTGAGCTGAGATGGTGCCACTGCACTCCAGCCTGGGCAACAAGAGCAAAACTCCCTCTTAAAAAAAAAAGAAAGAAATCAATCATACCTCTGTTTCAAAACAAATTTTTAACTAATGGGCAACAAAAGTAAGATGAATATACCACTTAACCAAGGTAAATGTAATTGTTACCACACAACTGGATGCCAATGGAATAAAACATGATTATTTACACAACTAAAAGATCACAAACAAAACTACTGGCTTGAAATACGTGTTCATTCTAGGACATCGCTGGAGCCTTTGAAAAAATATATATATACATAAAAAATGAAAAATTTGTGCATATATTAATGTTTCCCCTTAATACATAACACATCTGTATGTCGCAGGAAGATAGTATGCATAGTGGTAGTAAGACAGTAAGAACACAGGCTGGAAACACAATGCTAATTGTGTAACATGGACAAATTACTTAAACTTCAACGTGCTTCAGTTTCCTCATCTGCAAAATAAAGATAATAAATGTATCCACCTCACAGTGATGCTAGACGACTGAGTTGGCACATGTAAGTCCCCGATTCAGAGCTTGGCATAGTACATGAATGCAGAGGAATAAATTTCAAATATTTTCACTGTTTTTTTAACTTTTTTTAAGCCCTTTTACACACACTGTCTTTTCTTTTCCTCCCAACAGTTTAACGAGATTGTTTGAACACGAAATACTAACTTTAGAGATAAGACACCAATAGTAAAGGTTGTATGATTACCCTTTTTTTTTTAATATATATTTTTTTTTTTTTTTTTTTTTTTTTTGAGATGGAGTCTCCATCTGTCGCCCAGGCTGGAGTACAGTGGCACGGTTTCGGCTCACTGCAAGCTCTGCCTCCCGGGTTCATGCCATTCTCCTGCCTCAGCCTCCCAAGTAGCTGGGACTACAGGCACCCACCACCACGCCCAGTTAATTTTTTTTTTTTTTTTTTTTTTTTTTTTTTGTATTTTTAGTAGACACAGGGTTTCACCGTGTTAGCCAGGATGGTCTCGATCCCCTGACCTCGTGATCCACCCGCCTCGGCCTCCCAAAGTGCTAGGATTACAGGCGTGAGCCACCGCGCCCGGCCACCCTAAGACATTTTTAAGTGGCAGAGTTTGGACTAGAATCCACACATAATCTTAACCCCAGGCCAAACTGACCAAATCTCCACGGATCCAGTTTGGAAGAAAGAATCTTTTGGGTTTTCCCCATTGCTTCCTCCTCGTCGTCAGCAACAGCCAGCCTAAAGACCTCATGGGGGCAAATGCAGAGGACCACGTGTTCAAACTAAAAAGTAGGAGAAGCCTAGCTTTCACAGAAACTGACACATAGTTGGCCCTCCAGAGATGGCAGCTATTGACTGAAACTTACAAGCACTATTAAGTTTTTCTCAGTTACAGAACAAAGTACTACTCCACAAAATCAAGTCTCCTACCAAAAACAAAAGTCACTTAATACTATGCTTATCTGTCATATCAAGCATATCTAAGTTCAATGTGCAACAGAAACCTAAACAAAAAAGTGGTAAGATTTATTTTTACTAATCTCAAAAAACATGTTTCACAAAAAGGGCTTTCATCATCAGTTTTTTGAAAACTAACCCAAGTAGTTATATTTCATGACATGATGTTTCTTTGAACAAATAAGTTAACAATATGATTAAATATTTCACCTTGGTAATGCCTTCAACACATTTGTTCAATACCTTTCTTGGGCTTAAAGTGACTCTCAATCCCTAATCTCATCTACTGCCAGGTACACAAGAAACACAGTTAGTTAATGAACTTTAAAGGCAGATGCAATGTTTCCAGGGAAGTCATCTGAACCAGGGAAGTACAAGCAAGCAAATCATCTCCACTACCACGTCTAAGTGCCTTATTTTTCAACTTCTTTTCTTCAAATGGGCAATTAGAAGCTAAAATACACCTTAAAAATCAGGTTTGGCATCCGCCCTGGCTAGGGCCTACCTTTCTTTACGCGGCACTGCCACTCTGGCACCTACAGGCAGGCCTTTGGCGCCTGCAGGACTCACAGGGAAGGCAGCCCCAGTCCCTGCTCTCCACAGCTCTCGTCGAAGCCCTGCACGTGGTGGCCACTTGAGACGTTTTAGTGGATGGGATTCAACAGTGGCTGAGCTCAGGTTGCGTTCCGGGAGGGCGCAGCTCCCAGACCCGCTGTGGTTGCAGGAGGAAGGTTTTGACGCTCCTAGCGTAAACAGCGACGGGACACACTTCGCCCCGCTGCTACCTAGCCCTCGCTGCTCGCGCGGCCCCTCCGCACCCGACGCCTCCGCCAGCCTCCAGGATTCGTTTCCCTGCGCCTCCTCCCACCTGAGCCAGCGACGCCACCGCCACCTGCACCGGACCCCAACTCCCAAGCCAGGGGCCGTTACCCGAGGTCGCGGCCTGGGGGAGGCCCACGTCTCAGGAGGAAAAGCCCGGGCTACAGCTCCCGCTCCTGCACCTCTGAGATCCCCCGGCCGCCGCCATTTTCCTTGCGCCGTAACCCCACCTGACAGTTCCAGCCGCCCACCTGTGACAAGCAGGGCACGCCGCGCGACGCCGAGTGGGGTGCGTGGGCAAGCTGGGACTCCGTAAGGGTCACAACCTCCGAGCGGAACCCGCCGTTAATTCATCCAGAAGCGCGGAGGCGTCCGGCCGTCGCCCTAGTAATGCGTCCCGTAAGGCTACGTCCTGATTGGCTGCAAGAGCCGTGTCGCAACGGCGTCCCCGGCTGCGTGGGAAGCCCGGGTCCACGGCGCCCCGCGCCTGCTCCACAGCCCGGGATACCCCCGGGTGCCTTTCTTTGAGAGCTCCTTTAAAGAGGCCGCGCTTATTTCCTCGTCTGTCGTCCTGGAGAGGAGGGACCCACGGAACGGTGGGGTGTAAGGATAAGAAAACAACGAAATAGGAAATTAGCGGAGGTCATTTGTCCGAGGAAACCTAATGTTTCATTCAACCCCTAGAGCTGCAAAATGGAAAACAGAAATCTGGGAGTTTAATTTACAAGCCTAAATTGGGTGCGCGAAGACACAGGACAAATCAGTAATAGAAACAGTTCTAGAACCCAGGTTCCCTCATCAGGAGCACAAAGTTTTTCCAGCACGCTCAGTGTTTCCCCAGTCCTAGAAAATGTTTCCTCCCAGTTCCCATAGCAATTTCATCACACTGCTCCAAAGGTCTCTTTCACCTACCGTGGTGTGTCTGTCCCCTAACCTACTAGATTGCAAGCCCCTGAATGGTGGGGACTGTGATTAAACCCCTTTTCATTTCCGTTAAGCAATGCCCTCCTCAACTTGGCCTTCAACAAATACAATAAGAATCTTATAAATAATAAACATAGCTACACATCACACACAGCCACTCATCAGTAGTTCATGTGTGTCTATACGTTTCATCCGTTTATTCAACAAGGCACAGAGGAATGAATATTTTTAAAATTACAAAGTTCCTGCCCTCACAAAATTTATGGTATAATAATAATGACCGTCTACATTTTGGCTGCATAGCTTCAACATAGCTAAATTATATCCCCAAATTCCCTGTAAATCAAAGATTCCTGTGCTGTTTTCCTAAATCAGCTTCATAATTTCTCTAAGTTTGTTCCAGAACATTGTAGTATTTAAGATGTGCTAAAATTGCATCAGAAAGTGAAGAATGACTACAGAGAGAAACACCAGAACAAAAGTCAATTCTACCAATTATGCCTATGACCTTAGGCCTCCTTTTTACCTTTAAAATAAGATTACTGGAATAAAAGATCTCTAAATTCGTTTTTGTTGTTGTTAAGAGTTGGCCTGGCTATGCTCCAGAACCTTCAAGGGCTGTGCTGTGGTTCTTTGGGGGCTTGCCAGAGGCTCTTCATAGCTTTTGCAACTCCATTGCAGAGAATTCTAGCATCATGAGGTGTGTCCGGTGATACAGCCCAAAAGGCAAGGCTGCACTAACCACAGAGGATAGTGCTGGGCCCTTTCTTTTTTCTTTTTCTTTCTTTCTTTTTTTTTTTTTTTTTTTTTTTTTGAGACAGGGCTCACTCTGTCACCTAGGCTGGAGTGCAGTGGCATGATTGTGGCCCACTGCAACCCCCGCCTCCCGGGCTGAAGCAATCCTCCCACCTCAGCCTCCAGACTAGCTGGAACTACAGGCACCTGCCACTATGCCCAGCTAATTTTTGTGTTTTTTGTTGAGACAGGATTTCACCATGTTGCCAGGCTGGTCTCAAACTCCCAAGCTCAAGCTATCCACCCACCTCGGCCTCTCAAAGTGCTGGGATTAGAGGCTTGAGCCACCGCACCTGGCCCTGAGCCCTTTCTTGATCTGAGCTACTCATCACTAGCCACCTTCCACATCAACTGCTAAATGGATAGGAACAGAATTCCCAAGGGAAAATATGCTGATTTCTAAGAGATCTACTAAGTGTCATGTCATGCTTCTTTCCTTTTGGTAGAGGTGCAAGGTGTAGTAACATGTTTTTCATTTTGGGAAAAATGTCCTGACATGCCCGAGATCATTGGACAACTTCAGCATCCAAAACGATGTGTAGTTTACATAATACTGTTATACCAGGATCATTCTTTGTTTTGATACATGTTTTATGCTTACACAAGATGTTGACGTAAGGGGAAGCTGGGTAAAGAATATATGGAAAAATCCCTGTACTCTTTTTACATCTCTCCTAAGTCTAAAACTATTCCCCCAGTTTTTTAAATAATTGTTTTAAAATATCACCAATGTAGCAAGCTCCTGAATTCTTGTGGGGTTTATCCACCTTTGAAATGTATGTATTTCTTCAAGGCGTCTGGAGAAGTAGTCCCTGACCATTTTGGCACCGGGGACTGCTTTCATGGAAGACAGTTTTTCCATGAACAGGGTGAAGGGTGAAGGGGGTGATTTGGGGATGATTCAACCACATTACATTTATTGTGCACTTCATTTCTATTATTATTACATTGTAGTATATAACACTTAAAAAGTGGTGTTAATCTGTGCTCTACTGTCCCAAAGGGACAAGTTTCTGAATCTTTCCTGACCCCGATAACAGAGGATCACAGCTGATGAATTGTTGAACCTCATGAGCCATTGACTTAATAGTCACATTTAATAGGGCACTCTCTGTAATGCTCAGGGACACGCTATGACACACAGGAAATCTCAAGTCCTAGTTCTTATTGTACTTTTGTTATTATGCCCATGTAATTGCTCCCTCTTCTTCAAAATGTGGGAGTAATAAGGGAAAATCTGTGCTCAATAACAGACCTCAGAAAAGAGTCAGGTACATCGCTGCCAATAAAATCGGAGCAAGTCTCTCCCAAGGTAATGAATACAAGGAACATGCAGCCCAGTGCCAGCGGAGGCCACAGATACTTAACTGGAGGCCCAGAGTGGCCCATTTGTTATAGCCTATAGTCTCCCTGTTTACAAAAACTTCTATGAAGGAGACTTAGCATTACCTAATATCATCAGTCATCCAGTGAGATTCTAAAATTCAAAAGGCATTTGAAATGAAATGTTTTGATTTCTTGAGACGTGGAGTAAGACATGTCTTTGGTAGCTGAGGAGTTTGGTGCTAGAATGTACAGCTTGGAAGTAGTGACAAATTTATATTAACACAAAACAGCTGTGGAGTCTAATTATTAATAGTTCTGATTATTCTCTTTTTGCTCCATCTCTCACCTTCCCCATTCCCCACCCCCATCTTTTTTTTTTTTTTTTTTTTTTTTGAGATGGAGTTTCGCTGTTGTTGCCCAATCTGGAGTGCAATGGCACCATCCTGTCTCACAATCTCCGCCTCCCGGGTTCAAGCAATTCTCCTGCCTCAGCCTCCCGAGCAACTGGGATTACAGGCATGTGCCATCACACCTGGCTAATTTTGTAGTTTTAGTAGAGATGGGGTGTCTCCATGTTGGTCAGGCTGGTCTCGAACTCCTGACCTCAGGTGATCCACCCCCCTCAGCTTCCCAAAGTGGTGGGATTACAGGCATGAGCCACCGCGCCCAGCCCCACCCCCATCTTTATGCTGACTTGTCCCGCTTTCCTCTCCTGACTCCCTGGTCTTTTGTCTCTGGCAGGGTTTAGCCAATGGGAGGCCCTGGCTGGACTCTGCAGGGTGGGCTGAGAAAGAGCTCAAGGCTGCATTCCCCTGGCTCCCTCCCTGTGGGGCTGCAGGGTGGCAGTGGCTTCACGCTTCACCTACTCTAGAGCCCGGCTCTCACTGGGTTCTGGGACCCACTCCCCGCCTTGTCCCTTCAGGCAGGGCCCACAGTGTGCGACGGTCTAACTTACTGTATCTAGCCTCAGGGTGCTTCATTCCCCTCTGTTAATTTCCCTTAACCTTGATTGTACCTTTGTGGTCTCAGAATTAACTCTAACTTAAAGATGACATCCAGGACTCAGGTTCTTTCATTTCTTTTTTTTTCCTTTTTTTCTTTCTGGTTTTTTTGTTGTTGTTGTTGTTGTTTGTTTGTTTGTTTGTTTTTGACACCAGGCTAGAGTACAGTGGCATGATTTCATCATAGCTCACTGTAGCCTGGGCCCCAGAGATCCTCCTGGCTAAGCTTTCTTAATTTCTTAGAGACAGGGTATTGCCATGTTGCCCAGACTGGTCTTGAACTCACAGCCCCAGGCAGTCCTCTCACCTCAGCTTCCTGAGTATTTGGGATTACAGGCGTGAACCACAGCACCCAACCAGCTCAGGTTCTTTCTCTCCTTCTGCCCTGCCTTCCTTAGCATATTGGCCTTACATTTTTATGTTTATTGCCTCATGGCCGCAAGATGGTTGTCACAACTCCAGACATCACAGTCATATCCAAAGGCAAGAAACAATGGGTCAGGCGCAGTGGCTCACACCTATAATCCCAACACTTTAGGAGGCTGAGAGGGGCATATCATCTGAGACCAGGAGTTCGATACCAGTCTGGCCAACATGGTGAAACCGTGTCTCTACTAAAAATACCAAACTTAGCTGGATGTGGTGGTGCGTGCCTGTAATCCCAGCTACTCAGGAGGCTGAGGCAGGAGACTCTCTTGAATCTGGGAGGCAGAGGTTGCAGTGATCTGAAATCGTGCCACTGCACTGCAGCCTAGGCAACAGAGCAAGACTCCATCTCAAAAAAAAATAAATAAAAAGAAATGTTTGTTACCTTTTCTTTATTGTTTCTCTAAATAGTAACGACCCTTAAGGCCCCCTTCCAATCTCTTCAACATCTATTTTCGACCCCCACTGAATCATCTCTGATGACCACATAATCACTGTGAGATGGCCATCCCGAAACCTATATTGACTGTATTTTCTTATTTTCTGTGTTCTCAATGCTTTGTCATTTGAGGCCTCACTAACGAACTACCTCTCCCAGGGTTAGCTAAGTTCTTGAGATCGCAAATAACTCTCCCAGGACTGTGCCTTTCATAAGCAAACCAACTAATCCAGACACACAAACCCCCACCTTCTCTAACTGGTTCTTACACTCCAGGCCAATATTCCTCTGCCCTAATCACCCCAGGACCAATGCAGCAGACAACTTGGGACAGCTTCTACACCCCAGAGCCTGCTGAGATCAAACTAGCCTATCCTAAGCCTGTGTACCCTGCCTTGCCCATTCCTTACCATGGAAACCACAATAAAGGCCTTTCCCATGATTTCCTCCTGCTTTGTGTGTATTTTTTTTTTT